GTTGTGCAAAACCAGTGCAAGGGGTTGTACAATACACAGTGTAAGGGGTTCTACAATACTAGTGTAAGGGGTTGTAGAATACCAGTGTAAGGGGTTGTAGAATACCAGTGTAAGTGGTTGTGCAAAACCAGTGCAAGGGGTTGTACAATACACAGTGTAAGGGGTTCGACAATACTAGTGTAAGGGGTTGTAGAATACCAGTGTAAGGGGTCGTACAATACCAGTGTAAGTGGTTGTACAATACCAGTGTAAGGGGTCGTACAATACCAGTGTAAGTGGTTGTACAAGACCAGTGTAAGGGGTTGTACAATACACAGTGTAAGGGGTTTGTAAGTAGTTGATTGTAATTCTTTGTTTTATAAAGACACACTGCTGATTGCCACTGAAAAGGATGACAAGATAACGGAACCAGAGGAGGCGATTCAGACAAGATCTTTTTCATCTTTAACACCTGTCGCAGGCAAACCTACAGCAGAAGGTAGGCTCCGTCACATCCACGTGAATACTACTAGTAGGTCTCAGGGGAGAGATAGTGAATATAGAAATAATTGTGGATATAGAAAATCAGTTAACCCTAACCCTAACCCTAACCCTAACCCGAACCCGAACCCGAACTCTAACCCTATCTCTAATTCTAAATTAAAACAATATTAGCCAAAATAATAAACAATAAAAATAAATAAAAGACCAAATTAGCCAATCAGACGCCGTTTTTATTGGCTCTTAACGCGCCCTCTTAGGCGGATCACTATCTCTCCCTTGTGGCCAGACACTGCCAACTGTTACGTATTGCCCGTAACTTTGTTACGGACCGCGAGTCAAAATTACGGCTGTTACGCACGACCTCGAAAAATACGGACAGCAAGAAATCTCTGAAAATTTATATTTTCTAATGCAAAAAAAAATAAACACAGTGTAAAATCAACTACATTATCATGTAACATGACTACTGTGTCTGTAGATTTAGACTAATGGCCCTGTCACACATTGACGATTTAAGCCAGCGTATGCCGGACGTATCAAAATTTGGTGAACTACGCTGCGTACGTCGAATAAGTTATGGGTAGCTTTGTATATAGTTAAGAGCACGCTGAAGCACGCTGAAGTACGCTGAAGCACGCTGGTATAATCGTCGTAGTACGGTGAGGTTGTCTTAAAAATTTTGAGCATTCTCAAAATTTTCCGAAGTATGCCAGCGTGATGCCCATACGTCCCGCATACGCGGGCCCATAATTGTAGGTAAGTTAATGCGATCGTTGACACACGTTCACACACGTTACTTGTAACGTTACTCATAAGTCGAAAAATACGTCAGATATATGTCTAGCGTACCCAAAACTTATTTCTAACTTATGAGTAACGTGCTTTGAACGCTATGTGTAACTTATCTCCAACGCATAGTTGACGTATGTAGACGTATTTGACGTGTTTCCGGGACGAACCACAGAACTTACATGAACGTGTTTCTAACTTACAGCTACCGTATAATGGCGTATTGGCAGCGTTTAGGGGAATTGTATATAAAATGGTATTGGCATGTTGATACTTGCGACGGTGATGTTGATTACTCGTGATGTCTAGTGCGGTTATGATTTGAATCGTCGAGCGGCAGCCTTTTATAGGCTACGACACGTGATCGTCGGGCGATCGCTATGACCGCGCGCTATGCATCAAGTTAGACTAATCGTTGAGCATAAGTTGTGAACGCCCTGGCAACACAGCTAAGGCATTCGTTGGTAACTAAGTTATCTTATAAGATTATCGAAACGTTCTATATACGTTACTAATACGTTAAGTATACGTCCAACTCGAATATAATACGCTATGTATACGCCCAAAATTCGAAAAAAACATCGATAGTTCAGCGTATGCCAGCTTTTTTAGAGAAATTTTTGATACGTCCGGCATACGCTGTCTAAATCGTCAATGTGTGATCAAGGGCGCAATAATACCTCTTAAAACGTAACCGGTACTCACTGAAAATGGTAAATTATGCTGTGTGTATGCGGCTCGTCTGTCTGGTTTTATGGGCGCAGCATTTTGAATGACGTCACGGATCCAGGAATAGAGTACCGCACTTAAGGCTATTTTCAGCCAATCACCGTGAGAGATATAATTAGGTTGCTGCGTAGTGCACTGTAAATAGAGCTGACAAAAAGGTGTACTGCCAAATGCCTATTTGTTACGGAAAAATCCAATAATTATTACTGATGATCATCAGATGGGTTGGCAGGTCTGCTTGTGCAAGGGGTTGGCAGGAGGTTATGTATTCGGGTCTGTGCATTAGTGTGTGCGTGTGTGTGTGTTCGCGCGATCGATAGTCAGCAACAGCTTGCCTTAGGGCGCGAGTCAGCAGCAGCTCGCCTATTGCGTCGAGTCAGCAGCAGCTCGCCTTAGGGCGTCCTTGTTTACTACCGCCACACAAAGAAAAATCGGTGAGCTACCGATGTAACGAGTTTGCTCTTACACTTACACGGCGACTCTTTGTTTATTACCGCCATACTAAGAAAAACCGACGAGCTACTGATGTAACGAGTTTGCTCTTACACTTGCACGGCGACTCTTTGTTTACTACCGCCACACAAAGAAAAATCGGCGAGCTACCGATGTAACGAGTTTGCTCTTACACTTACACGGCGACTCTTTGTTTACTACCGCCACACAAAGAAAAATCGGCGAGCTACCGATGTAACGAGTTTGCTCTTACACTTACACAGCGACTCTTTGTTTACTACCGCACACAAAGAAAAATCAGCGAGCTACCGATGTAATGAGTTTGCTCTTACACTTGCACGACGACTCTTTGTTTACTACTGCACACAAAGAAAAATCGGCGAGCTACCGATGTAACGAGTTTACTCTTACACTTGCACGATGACTCTTTGTTTACTACCGCCACACAAAGAAAAATCAGCGAGCTACGCACGTAACGAGTCCATGTTCAATGATGCCGCCGAACAAGCAGGCAGTGATCTGCAGCTCGCGATCCGGGTACTGAGGGAAGAAGCGATACTCCTCAAACAGGTTCCTCAGCATGCAGTTGTACACCTCCTGCAAGTACGAACGAACAATTGTAGGAAAGGAATAGTACAGTTATAAACTAATATTTATCACATACATTATAATGTATTACTAAAGTCCGGCACACACGTGGCGATTTTAATCGCCACGTGTGCGCCTCGTAATGTCAAAAAGACACGGGCGTTCCTGCCACATTTCAACAAGCTCATCCTCCTGCTTTTTTCCCACACCAAGGGCGCTGCCATATTTGATCACGTGCTTCAAATCATGCATTTGATTAGTTAATCCAAAAACTGTTGCCTGAATCCGTCGCCAGTGCAGCGCACACGTGGCGATTGTTCAGCGACTCGGCAACAAATATCAAACATGTTTGATATTCCAACGACGAGTTTCTGGCGTCAAAATCGCCATCGCCATGCAGCGCACACGTGGCGATCTCTCGGCAATTCTGTCGCCGGCAACAAAATCGCCAGTACTAGCAATAAAAATCGCCATGTGTGCGCCCGGCTTAAGGCACACAGTAGGTCAGATCTTTTTATGAAAAGTCTGAAATCGTTAGTTCATAGTGTGGGCATACACAGCATTAAACTTGTTTCGTTAGAACTTATTTAGTTACTTGCACCAATAGTGAAAGAAAGCATGAAATCCATAGGGGGTCCAGAAAAAATACCCAACGATTACAGTCCGACCTCCTTTATCCGGCCACGTCGGGACCGGCACCCATCCGGTTATGCGATTTGGCCGGATATGAGTTATGCTCAAACACAGCATTTCTATGCAGTTCAGTAGGGTTTATGCATGTGATAATGTATTTACTCGTTGCTATGATTATTTGTAACAAACTGTTGTGTTTTATGGTTTATATGAAATGGAAATAAAATGAAATAAAGCAGAAATTCTACCACTTCGGTTTATGTTTGTTTCTTTTGTGCTGAGATCTAGGGCTGTAACGATCGATACATTCGTGTATTCGGTGCACCGAATATTGTTGTTGGACGATACGTATTCGTTATTCACGTCGTCATTATTCGAATACTGACAAATACAAATAATATAAATAAAAAAATCTTTTTTAAACTGCAATTCTACGCCGATTTGCTCGAATTCTGAATGTCATTTGCAGCTTTCTCCGTGAACGCACCTAGACTGGTACCCGTCCCTTCTCACATGTCGAGAAGGCCGGGACGTGTATCTTACTATCACGTGTAACTCGCCCCATATCGAGCGTGTGAGAAGGGACGGATACTAGGGATGCAGCGGTATACCAGAATTGCAATATTATCGCGGTGTAATATTTTAGAATATCATACCGTAACCAGCTCAATACCGTGGTTTTCTCGTTGACATGTGATATATACGTGTACAGTGATGTCACGAAAATCTGACACAGCCATGCCACGTTTTTCCAGCCATGTCCAAGTTTTGAGCGAGATTTTTAGGTGAAAATAAATGAAAAACCAAAGATCATACACTGCGAGATCGCGGCCGGTTAATAGAGATTTCCGGATAACGGGTGGCCGGATAAAGAAGGTCAGACTGTACCATAAATACACTTAGTATCAAGAACACCTTGTACGTGGATAAACGTATTTCTTAGAGGTCAGGATGCGCAACCATACTCATGAGATAACCGACATGAGGTTACAAACGCTCGTACTAAGCTAAATCACAAAACTCACCCTTTCTACCATACTTCTCATATCCGACATATGAGGTTACAAACGCGCCGTACTAGTGATGGGAATCGGCTTGGAATTTCATAATCGATGTTATCGGTTTCCCTTAACCGATCGATAATCGATTATAATCGGTAAATCGGTTAATAATAGCATAGATTTAATTTAATCTTACTTTGTATATATACAATTATACATAGCATTTCAATATTATCATGTTTTATGATCATGTAGGCCCTATTAACTCTGTGAAGGTTGCTGTATGTATATCAATGTCTGTTCCTATACAGTATTTAATCAATTTAAAAAGAAATGGTTTAAATGCCTTTATTTTAAAAACATTAAAGATTTTTAAAAAAACATGATCAAGACATGTTCTTTATTATAGTAAGTAAGTTGTTTGTGTTCTAAATAGTGTAGGGCTGTGTAGCCGCAGTTAATGCTCCTGTGCAATGGAATTATCCTCTCCAACATGGATGTAACAAACAATACGTGAGAGTAGAATCTCATCTACGGATAAACATCTGTGGGACAGTGTCAAAACAAAACAAGACACTGTCCAATTTGTCCATGTCTATAAGTACACTAGTACCGCTCTGGCAATCAGACAGTACTATGTTAACAGTGATTCATGAAGGTGTCCTCTGGACTACACACTGATGCACTTCTATCTTCGCTACCAATACATGTCCATGCTGCGATTTAATAATTTAAAAAAAAAAATTTTTGTTGTTGTATTTTTTATAATCGAATTATTTGTTTATTCATAATCGATTATCGAATTTGAGACTATAATCGATCGATTTTCGATTATAATCGATCATCTGGACATCACTAGCGCGTACTAAGCTAAACTACTCATCCTTTCTACCATACTTCTCATATCCGACATGAGGTTACAAACGCGCGTACTAAGCTAAACTACTCATCCTTTCTACCATACTTCCAGGAGTAGATAAAGGAAGGAGGTGTGACTTCAATAAACAAGGGAAATTCGTCATTTACTAGCCTTATAATACCTACGATTTACTACGCGTAACTCATCCAACTTGAGCTCAAATCGGACACAGTACATTGCGCCCATCATCGTACGAAATCATTTCCTCGTAGACACACCCGCAATCCGGAGATACAGACTGAAACGTACGACACGATTCTCTATTCTCTGGCCAATAAATTCACCGCATAGAGCGCCTATACTTCAAACAAAAGGCAGCTACTAACCACACTGTCCACGGGGCTTGCGCTCACGGGAGGGCGCTGTGGCTAGCAGGGTGATTAGGCTCAACGCAACACTCGGCGAGATAACCTTTGACCCGGTAGACAGCTACAATGTATGCCTGTATGTCATACCGGCATGCCGGCACGCACGCACGCCAATCCGCTATCAGCAGCAGCTCCCTTGTGAGCCACAGCGCCTCGCCGTGAGCGCAAGCCCCGTGGACAGTGTGGTTAGTAGCTGCCTTTTGTTTGAAGTATAGGCGCTCTATGCGGTGAATTTATTGGCCAGAGAATAGAGAATCGTGTCGTACGTTTCAGTCTGTATCTCCGGATTGCGGGTGTCTACGAGGAAATGATTTCGTACGATGATGGGCGAATGTACTGTGTCCGATTTGAGCTCAAGTGGATGAGTTACGCGTAGAAATCGTAGGTATTATTAAGGCTAGTAAATGACGAATTTCCCTTGTTTATTGAAGTCACACTCCTTCCCTTTATCTACTCCTGATACTTCTCATATCCGACATGAGGTTACAAACGCTCGTACTAAAGCTAAACAACTCACCCTTTCTACCATATTTCATATCTGACATGAGGTTACAAACGCTCGTACTAAGCTAAAACTACTCACCCTTTCTACCATACTTCTCATATCTGACATGAGGTACAAACGCTCGTACTAAGCTAAACTACTTCACCTTTCTACCATACTTCTCATATCCGACATGAGGTTACAAACGCGCGTACTAAGCTAAACTACTCATCCTTTCTACCATACTTCTCATATCCGGACATTGAGGTTTAGAAACGCGCGTACTAAGCTAAACTACTCACCCTTTCTACCATACTTCTCATATCTGGACATGAGGTTACAAACGCTCGTTACTAAGCTAAACTACTCACCCTTTCTACCATACTTCTCATATCTGACATGAGGTTACAAACGCGCGTACTAAGCTAAACTACTCACCCTTTCTACCATACTTCTCATATCTGACATGAGGTTACAAACGCTCGTACTAAGCTAAACTACTCATCCTTTCTACCATACTTCTCATATCTGACATGAGGTAACAAACGCACGTACTAAGCTAAACTACTCACCCTTTTCTACCATACTTCTCATATCTGACATGAGGTTAGAAACGCCGCGTACTAAAGCTAAACTACCTCACCCTTTCTACCATACTTCTCATATCCGACATTAGGTTACAAACGCTCGTACTAAGCTAAACTACTCGCCCTCTACCATACTTCTCATATCCGACATGAGGTTACAAACGCGCGTACTAAGCTAAACTACTCACCCTTTCTACCATACTTCTCATATCCGACATGAGGTTACAAACGCGCGTACTAAGCTAAACTACTCACCCTTTCTACCATACTTCTCGTGTCTGACATGAGGTTACAAACGCGCGTTATAAAGCCTAAACTACTCATCCTTTCTTACCCATTACTCTCATATCCGACATGAGGTTACAAACGCGCGTACTAAAGCTAAACTACTCATCCTTTCTACCATACTTCTCATATCCGACATGAGGTTACAAACGCTCGTACTAAGCTGAACTACTCACCCTCTCCTTCTTGTTGTTTGAATCCTTGAATTTCTTCAGCATCTCCAGTACCTCGTCGATGCTCAGTGCGGGCGGGTGGTTGTAGATGCGCTGGAAATAGCTGTTCGCTTCATCTTCCACCTCCTTAGAGAACGACTGAGTCATCTCCGGAAACATGGTCGCCATGTCTCCACCAACGCTCCCAACGCCACCCGTGGGCGTCACTAGAAAATGCATATGCAAAACACGTTGCTTTTATGCGGCTAGCGGTCACATTCACACTGCGAACTGGGATAGACGAATAAAACACGGACTAAACTCGTAAATGGTGCAAGATGCACAGAGAGCCATGGACTATTACAGGTCAAACTAGAAATGGCAGTTGTCGCCAACTACATGTAGCACCCGTGATCTAGTATGAATGAAATATCTCTGTAAGGACGTAGAAGGTAGGTAAAGTTAAATAAGTCACAAAGACAAAGGTTTGTTTACACAACTCATCTGCCTGAGATGTGCCAAGTATGTTAAAATTGGTTGCCTTAGGGGTTTTGGTACGCCGACACACCTTCTCCCCCAAGATGTGTAAGTATTACAAAGTTTGCTCGCGCTAGGTCAATTTAGGGCCGAGTTATAGAGCGGAAGGGAAATATGATAAAGTCAGTCAAGGTCAAATAAATTCCGCAAGTGATGTGGTTTTGATATGCGACACACATTCTACCCAAGATGTGTAAGTATACCAAGTTTGGTAGCACTAGGTCAATTAGGGGGCCGATTTATAGAGCGGAAGGGAAATATGATCAAGGTCAAGGTAAAAGGACAAAATAAAGGTCACAGTGACTGTTTTTGGTACGTGACCCACCTTCTCCCCAAGATGTGTAAGTATACACAAGTTTGGTGTAGCGGCTAGGTCAATTAGGGTCGAGTTATAGAGCGGAAGGGGAAATATTGATCAAGGTCAAGGTAAAGTGTCAAATAAAGTGGCAGTGACCTTGGTTTTGGTACGCTGCTCTCCTTCTCCCCAAGATGTGTACGTATAACAAGTTTGGTAGCACTAGGTCAATTAGGGTCAAGTTATAGAGCAAGGGAAGGGCAAGTGTCTGCGGCGGCAGCTGGACAGACATGAAACCATAGTATCTCCGACGACTTCGTCGCGGCGGATACAATTACAGTTGATCATGTCTTCATCTTGCACCCTAAGTCAATTTAACTTAATCGAGTCAGATTTGAATGTTACTGAATTGAGGAATTGGAATTTGAAAGGAATCAGTTTTACAATAAACTAGAAAGGGCAGTTGTCGCCAACTACATGTATCCCCCGTGTTCTCCCCAAGATGTGTAAGTATACGAAGTTTGGTCGCGCTAGGTCAATTAGGGGCCGAGTTATAGAGCAGAAAGAAATATAATAAAGGTCAAGGTCAAGGTCAATGTCAAATAAAGGTTGCAGTGACCTGGTTTCAGTACGCGACACACCTTCTCCCCATGATGTGTAAAGTATACCAAGTTTGGTCGCGCTAGGTCAATTAGGGGGCCGAGTTATAGAGTGGAAGGGAAATATGAGCAAGGTCACGGCCAAGGTCAAATAAAAGCCGCCATTGACCTTGTTTTGGTACGTGACACACATTTTCCCCAAGATGTGTAAGTATACAAGTTTGGTAGCGCTAGGTCAATTAGGGCCGAGTTAGAGAGTGGAAGGGAAATATGATCGAGGTCAAAGTAAAGGTCAAATAAGGTCACAGTGACCTGGTTTTGGTGCGCTGCTCACCTTCTTCCCCAAGATGTCTAAGTATACCAAGTTTGGTAGCGCTAGGTCAATTAGGGGGCGAGTTAGAGAGCAGAAGGGAAATATGATCAAGGTCAAGGTAAAGGTCAAATAAAGGTCGCAGTGACTGGTTTTGGTTACGCTGCTCACCTTCTCTCAAAGATGTGTAAGTATTACCAAGTTGTTAGCCCTAGGTCAAATTAGGGGCAGAGTTAGGAGAGCGGAAGGGAAATATGATCAAGGTCAAGGTAAAGGTCAAATAAAGGTCGCAGTGACCTGGTTTTGGTACTCTGCACACCTTTCTCCCCAAGATGTGTAAGTATACCAAGTTTGCGTCACGCTCGGTCAATTAGGGGTCGAGTTTATAAGAGCGGAAGGGAAATTCTCCTGCGCGGACGAGCGCGGCGGCGGCGGCTGGGAGGACATGAAACCATAGTATACCCGCCGACTTCGTCGCCGGGGGGGGGGGGGGGGTACAAATACTGTACACTAGTGACTATACCAGGAATACAAATATGAGTCCGCAGGCAAAAATGAGGGAGTCCGTTTTGTAACTATCCTGATTTGAACAATCTGCGTTGATAGGATCAGGGTTCATAATGACAGACTTTCAATCGTAAAGACCTTAATAATTATAAGTATATAATAATCAATCATAATTATTAATAATTACAGACCTTCATAATTATCAACCACTCATAGGATAAAACGATAGGAAGAGGGAGCTACACACCTTCAATAATGATCACCATCTCATAGACATAGGATAAAACAAGCACGACAGGAAGAGGGAGCTTCCGGTTTTGGTTTTACTTTCGTTCTCCCTTCCAGGCACCCGTCACTCCTACGCACTCATAAACACGCTCCACACAGGGTATGACTTCGCGCCATAGACATGAAACAATCAATCGCCCGTACATCAATCGATACCGCTGCTGGCCATGACTCACGTACATCGTACGCACTAGCTGCAGGCGCGTTATACGCTGCCAGGCTATCTGTAACACCCGCGCTGTAAGTCTACTGGCAGGTACTGTTGAAGGTATAAGTTCAATTTTTACATTCTTACCCCCCCCCCATTTTCTCAACGAATTTGAGGTTTACACAAAATCGACCCCTGGGACTGTTGAAATCGCGGATTTTCGCGCATCCGCGGCGAAATCTCATCCCTGAGTCAGTTGTATGCGTGTGTCGTTGCGTGTGTGTGTGTGTTTGTGTGTGTGTGTGTGTGGTGTGTGTGTCTGTGTGGGTGCTGCGCGCGTGTGCGTGTGCGTGTGCGTGTGCGTGTGTGTGTGTTTGTGTGTGTGCGTGCATGCGCGGGTGCGTGTGCCTTTATGTGTGTCGTGGCGTGTGGGTGGCGGGGGAGGGGGGGTCAAACCCGTCTGGAGTCCCTGGACGACAGGTAATAGATGTATATATATATATATATATATATATATATTATATATATATATATATATTATAATATATATATATATATATATATATATATTATATATATATATATATATATATATATATATATATGGTTGTCATATCACCATATACAGTGACTAGCAAGCAGACAATTACTCATTAGCATGCTTACTACATCTGTATGATAGTGGCTATGTGAAAGATAACTACATACATTGTTGACAGTAACAGCTACAAATATGCCTCCATCCTACACTGACAAGCAGAAAATATTGTTGAAACTACTTATCCATATTGCAATGCTCTGCATCTAAATTAATAACAGCTACAAATATGCCTCCATTACACTGACAAGCAGAAAATATTGTTGAAACTACTTATCCATATTGCAATGCTTTGCATCTAAATTAATAACAGCTACAAATATGCCTCCATTACACTGACAAGCAGGAAATATTGTTGAAACTACTTATCCATATTGCAATGCTTTGCATCTAAATTAAATGTTTGACATGGGAGGAAAATGGTTAATATTTTCATTGCGTATTGTGGCCATGTTAAAAAAAATATATATATATATATGAACAATCAGTAAAATGTATACTCACCATTGTAAACAGATTCTAAATGTTCGCATCACAGTTTCAAGTCATCACAGTTAAAAAAATTAATGGATGACGTCATTTAATCACTACGACGCAATTTAAAAAGTCTCATGTTTTTTACAATGTCTTAACATTTCCTCGCATAATCCGCTATGTTGATTAGGGTTAAACTAAAAGTCGGAGAGATTATCTTCAAGTCCAGAGTAAAGGTCAAAGACAGGTGCCAATGTGCAATTTCTCTCTCAGACGTGTAAGTATACCAAGTGTCGTTGCGCAAGTAGGGGAAAATAAGGAAAATAAGAAATAAAGGTCGCAGTGATCTGGTTTTGGTATGCGACAGACCTTCTCCCCAAGATGTGTAAGTATACCAAGTTTGGTCGCGCTAGGTCAATTAGGGGCCGAGTTATAGAGCAGAAGGGAAATATGGTCAAGGTCAAATAAAGGTTGCAGTGACCTGGTTTTGATACGCGACACACCTTATTAGGAGCCGAGTTATAGAGCGGAAGGGAAATATGATCAAGGTAAAGGTCAAATAAAGGTAGCAGTGACCAGGATTTGGTACGCTGCGCACCTTCTCCCCAAGATGTGTAAGTATACCAAGTTTGGTAGCGCTAGGTCAATTAGGGGCCGAGTTATAGAGCAGAAGGGAAATATGATAAAGGTCAAGGTAAAGGTCAAATAAAGGTCGTAGTGACCTGGTTTTGGTACGCTGCGCACCTTCTCCCCAAGATGTGTAAGTAGACCATGTTTGGTCACGCTAGGTCAATTAGGGGTCGAGTTATAGAGCGGAAGGAAAAGTGTCTGCGGCGGCGGCGGCGGCTGGACAGACATGAAACCATAGTATCACCGCCGACTTCGTCGCGGGGTATAAAATTAACAGCTAATTACAGTCCGTTGCAAGATACACAGACTAACCACGGACTACTAACGAACTGCCTGTTAACAATTATCCAATCTCGAGAGTCTGTGATTTCGACGTTCATAGTACGTGGCTTTCCTCACGACCTTGGCAGCCTCATACCAGCAGCTGGAGCTTTTAGAGCAGCTGAATGTGAAAAGGTGCTTGTACGCGGCTGCAACGCTCGCGGGAAAATCCACGTACCAAGAACGTAATAATCAGGAACTCTTGAGATTAGGCCATTCTTAACAGGCAGCCCGTTAGCAGTCCCGGATTAGTCTGCGTCAGTCAGTGTATTTTGCAACAGACTAACGGTAATTTTGTCCATTATAGTCCGCGGCTCTCCGCGCATTTTGCACTGTTTACGTGTTCAGTCCGTGTTTTATCCGTTTAATCCAGTTCATAGTGTCGCCTGTCATTATTTCAACTTACTGTGAGCTAAGAAAGTTGGTGTGGAATAAGAACAGTGCATGAGTAATCTGTAATGAACTTCTAAGAGAGAATGATGCTACCTACCTCGCATGCCACCCACTCCTGCTGTAGGCGTAACTGAAAAAGACGAACATCGTATAAATAACAGCGGCAGGGTGGCGTTGTTGGTGGACATTTTGTTCATGGACGGGAACAGACAGCAGCGACGAATTACATACAACGCTTCACCAATAACATGCCACGTATATAACCCGACGGCAAGACAACCAAGATACAAAGGTACAAACCAGGTCCTGGTTGGCGACCCCTCTCTGCATTAGCTGCTTGCAAGAAGGCGGCTTTCGCACTGAGGCTATTCAGTCCGCCGGACATGATGCTGGTGCTACTCAGACCCGTTGCCAGTGACCCTGACGGGAAACCATCTGGAAAATGGTCGCAAGCTCTCACTCACATGCAGGAGTCGAACAAATCAATACACATGAAATGGGGCCATAAAGCAGAAATGTAGAAATCAGCTGAGCATTGCAGATGCCGCACCAATCTAGAAATGTGGCACGGCGATATAACTCACTTAACTTATCAAAATCTTCAGATTACGATCCGACTAAGAGAGCCGCATACCTTGTATCTGTGATCCGAGACTCGGGATGCCGGACATGGTAGACATTCCGGACATGGTAGACATTCCGGACATGGTGGACATTCCGGACATGGTGGACATTCCGGACATGGTCGACATTCCGGACATGGTGGACATTCCGGACAGAATGCTAGGCGACTGCAGGCTGGGGAAGGCAGATACCTTCCCCGGAGAGCCGGGTGTCGTTGTGAAGGAGGAGAGGCTGCTAGGGAACGGGGGAAGGCTGCTGCTCACTGCTGCCGACCCCCCGGACGCAGCTGCCGTCCCAACTCCCCCTCCCATCGTCAGAGATCCCATCGCACCACTTAGGCTAGCCAGCTGGTCGATCTGTGAAAGATTCAGTGGTCTAGTTCTCGAATGGAAATACGTGCATTGTCTATTCGTCAGTCAACTATTCGTCAGCACATGCACAGATAGGAGCAAAATTGTAAACAAACCATTTTTTTTTTAACTTTTTAATTACTTCTACTGAATACTGAACTAAAATGTTTAAGTAGCAACTTTTAACACTGGTAATTAGTTATTAAATCTATTAAAGGTATACTTTTAGGTAAGTCGTTCCAGGGTTCATAGTAGTAAGACACATGTTGAAATAAGGACTTATAAGACCCTTTCTGGAGGCCAAAATAAGACTTTTTTACGCGATTTCTGATAGATCACCGACTATTAAAGTACACTAATAATATTTATATACACAATTGCACAGCAACAACTCATCTGCCTGAGATGTGCAAGTATGTTAAAATTGGTTGCCTTAGGGGTTTTGGTACGCGACACACCTTCTCCCCAAGATGTGTAAGTATACAAAGTTTGCTCGCGCTAGGTCAATTAGGGGCCGAGTTATAGAGCGGAAGGGAAATATGATAAAGGTCAGTCAAGGTCAAATAAATTCCGCAGTGATGTGGTTTTGATATGCGACACACATTCTACCCAAGATGTGTAAGTATACCAAGTTTGGTAGCACTAGGTCAATTAGGGGCCGATTTATAGAGCGGAAGGGAAATATGATCAAGGTCAAGGTAAAGGACAAATAAAGGTCACAGTGACCTGGTTTTGGTACGTGACCCACCTTCTCCCCAAGATGTGTAAGTATACCAAGTTTGGTAGCGCTAGGTCAATTAGGGGCCGAGTTATAGAGCGGAAGGGAAATATGATCAAGGTCAAGGTAAAGGTCAAATAAAGGTCGCAGTGACCTGGTTTTGGTACGCTGCTCTCCTTCTCCCCAAGATGTGTACGTATAACAAGTTTGGTAGCACTAGGTCAATTAGGGGTCAAGTTATAGAGCGGAAGGGCAAGTGTCTGCGGCGGCAGCTGGACAGACATGAAACCATAGTATCTCCGACGACTTCGTCGCGGCGGATACAATTACAGTTGATCATGTCTTCATCTTGCACCCTAAGTCAATTTAAACTTAATCGAGTCAGATTTGAATGTTACTGAATTGAGGAATTGGAATTTGAAAGGAATCAGTTTTACAATAAACTAGAAAGGGCAGTTGTCGCCAACTACATGTATCCCCCGTGTTCTCCCCAAGATGTGTAAGTATACGAAGTTTGGTCGCGCTAGGTCAATTAGGGGCCGAGTTATAGAGCAGAAAGAAAATATAATAAAGGTCAAGGTCAAGGTCAATGTCAAATAAAGGTTGCAGTGACCTGGTTTCAGTACGCGACACACCTTCTCCCCATGATGTGTAAGTATACCAAGTTTGGTCGCGCTAGGTCAATTAGGGGCCGAGTTATAGAGTGGAAGGGAAATATGAGCAAGGTCACGGTCAAGGTCAAATAAAAGCCGCATTGACCTTGTTTTGGTACGTGACACACATTTTCCCCAAGATGTGTAAGTATACCAAGTTTGGTAGCGCTAGGTCAATTAGGGGCCGAGTTAGAGAGTGGAAGGGAAATATGATCGAGGTCAAAGTAAAGGTCAAATAAAGGTCACAGTGACCTGGTTTTGGTGCGCTGCTCACCTTCTCCCCAAGATGTCTAAGTATACCAAGTTTGGTAGCGCTAGGTCAATTAGGGGCCGAGTTAGAGAGCAGAAGGGAAATATGATCAAGGTCAAGGTAAAGGTCAAATAAAGGTCGCAGTGACCTGGTTTTGGTACGCTGCTCACCTTCTCTCAAAGATGTGTAAGTATACCAAGTTTGGTAGCCCTAGGTCAATTAGGGGCAGAGTTAGAGAGCAGAAGGGAAATATGATATAGGTCAAGGTAAAGGTCAAATAAAGGTCGCAGTGACCTGGTTTTGGTACGCTGCTCATGTTCTTTCCAAGATGTGCAAGTATACCAAGTTTGGTAGCGCTAGGTCAATTAGGGGCCAAGTTAGAGAGCAGAAGGGAAATATGATCAAGGTCAAGGTAAAGGTCGAATAAAGGTCGCAGTGACCTGATTTTGGTAAGCTGCTCACGTTCTCCCCAAGATGTGTAAGTATACCAAGTTTGGTAGCGCTAGATAAATTAGGGGCCGAGTTAGAGATCGGAAGGAAAATATGATCAAGGTCAAAGTAAAGGTCGAATAAAGGTCGCAGTGACCTGATTTTGGTAAGCTGCTCACGTTCTCCCCAAGATGTGTAAG